AACTTTCAGGTTTTTTTTTTAAGGGACACTGATTACACTACGTTGTAACGAAACTGACACTGAATGTGGCAGCAGTACCTCCAGCAAGAGAGGGGGAGGGCAGTGGCAATGGCAAGGAAAAGGAGGCAGATGAGGAGGAGTTGGAAGAACCAGAGGCAGGCCCCTGGATAGGTTTGGAAGCACTCTTAGTCGAAAGGGCAGTTTGCCAAAGCTGGTCTTTCAGTAAGGGTGGGGCAGCCATGTCAGTCTTGTTGATCAGTGTTGGCTGCATTGTTACTCGTGCTCATCAGTGTGCTGTGGTCCTCGGTTAGTTGTACCATTTTTTTTAACCACCATTCAATGTTTAGGTTGACATGACGTGCAAAGTACGATAAAATATATGACTAGAACTAGAACAACAGCAGGACCTACATATGGGATGGCCTGGCCAGGCCCGGTTCCAGTAGAATACTCCTAGCAAGGGAGCAGAGCAGCACACAAGTCAATACAGAAACTCCTGGGCAGGACGGCGCTTCTTGCTTGCATTGAACACGGCTACCACATTCACCCAGTTCAGACCATCACTGGGCAGGAGGGCTGCAGTCATCAGATCGCCCAGTTTGGTGTCGCCCAGGCAGGTCCGTTTCCACGTCTTGATACAGTTCTGGCGACTGAAGCCACGCTCGCACTCCACCGTGCTGAGGGGGAGCACAGCTACGGCCTGCCACAGCTGCACAAGGTTTGGGTACGCTCCCATGTAGCCAGTTGACTGGAGCATGATCGAGAGCGACTTGTGGAAGGTCATGTTGCCGTGGTTGGTATCCATGGTGTGCAAAAACAACGGTAGCTCCCTCTCGCACGCCTTGAAGCACACACCTGCCAGGATGGGAGAGCATAGCAGTGAGAGGGGCAATCGGGGCGTATGGGAGGTGTTTAACAGCACACCAAGGTAACCACACACACAGAGCAGACAGCACATTGCAGGCACAACCAGGTGGCGTACCAAAGAGGCGGTAGTGAAATATGTGGTCTAGCATGCCCAACCACTCGCGGCACTTCTTCATCCGCTGCGCGTTGTCGTCGGGATATCACGACGGCCGGAAAATCTTGGAACCGGCCAGGTTCTTGAGGTCTTCCAGGCGGAACTCCAGTCGCGCAACGCAGACCTTCGCAAACTCCTGGCACACCGCCTTGCAGGAGTAGTAGTCCCCGCCAGTCTTATGGCCTGGGATCTTGCGCTCGTGAAGCTCGAACCCGTGCTCTGCAGCGTCGCCGTTCTGGTCCACGCCTTTGACGGTGACTTCGCGGTGCTGGGGATTGCCGTGTTTCTTCAAGAACGCACAGAGTAGGGGCGACTGATCGTTGCCGAAACGATCCTCGCAGTCCACGTAATGCACCTCGATCATCCGGCAAGCAAGTGACACCTCCCCCGCGACCACCGTAATGTCAACCTGTGAGTGGGGGTGGGATGAATAGTTGCTGCCAGAGGTTGATGTACAATGGGTCAGAACGGCGCACAACAACCGCCACTTTCAACAACCGGGAACATGGCAGTGAAACAACCGCAAACTTGTACAACCAAAACACTCTACATGTCACCTGCTGCTTCTGGAACTTGGCGTTGAGCTCGTTGAGCACGGCAAGAATGACTTCAAGGAAGAAAAGCATGAAGTGGAATTTGAAAGAGGTGACCGTTTCATAGAGCGCGTGCTTGAAATCGTGTAGCAGGACGATCGTCGCCAGCAGAACCTTGGCAAACCGACTGCCTCTCCTCTAGAGAGCCATCGCATGTCGTGGATCCCCTACAACTCCAAGTTGGTTTCGCAGATGTACTCCTGAAGGTGCTCAAATCGCCGGTGCCAGTTGCTCGACCTAGAAAGCTGCTCCGCCACGTTGCGCACCGCCTGGTCTAAGATGTTGAACTCCGTCATCTTCTCAGCGGCATCCTTCGCAGCCAATGCCTCCCTGCTCAAGGTAGAACAGAGGAAACGAGCGATTGAAGTGAGTGGGAAGTACATGATCAACACTACACACCTGCCATAACGCCAATAACACAGACGGACTTACCGATGTGCGATGCAGCCGGAGTCGCGCCACAACACCATTGCTGGTGCCCGTCATGACTCTGGCGCCGTCGGTGCTGATTCCAACGATCTTGGACATGTCAATGCCCACGGCGTCAAGGTGGGTCAGTAGCACGTCGACGAGACTTGCCGCGTCACATTTGTCAACTCTCAGCAGCGTGAGGAACTCACAAACGCTCGCTCCCTCCTTCATGAAGTGGACGTAGACGATCAGGTGCTTGCCGCGCGCCTTGTCAGTACTCTCATCGAGCTGAATGGAGATGTACGGGCTCGCCTCGATCTGCTTCAGTTGCTCTTGCCGCATGTACTTCGCAGCAGCATCTTGAGAGCGGTGATGATGTGAAGCGTGCTGCGATCCAACCCCTCGAACTCGCTCAGCAGCGTTTGACGAAGCTTCCGGCTCTCCTTTGACTTCATCTCGGCGTGTGCGTCCTGGTGTGCGGTGGAGCGCAGGTGCGTCCGGATGCTCCCCTTCTGCATGTCACGCCCTCCACTGCCTCCCTTGCCATAAGCCGTTTTCGCGCCTTCAGCTCCATGTTCCAAGCACGTGCTGCATCTCAAAATGGGGAAGCCAACGTCATCACAAGTTAAAATTAGCCACGGAAACAAAGACTCCCATGATGTCTTAAATCGCTTATGCGCTTTAGCGAAAGCGACTTCGGGGTAACGGGCCATCTCTTCGACAGTCGGCAGGCCGTCTTCATCCTCCTTGTCATCACTCCCCTTGTCCTCCACTCGTCGGATTGGACGTGCCGCCCGCTTCAAAGAGGGCTTCGGTTGTCGCCACCACTGCTTAGCACTGCCACCGCTTGACTCTTTGCACTTCTTGTTCGCAGAGTCGCCAGCCGCATCGCCTATCTCCGTTTCAGGCGCCGTCGCTTCTGGAGTTGAAGGTTCCGTCGTGGTAGTGCAAACTTCAGGTGAGCGCAGGTCATGCCCCGATTCATCCACGCGGGTTTCATCCTCAGTTGAAGCAACTACGGGCTCCGGATCTGACAGCTTCTTAGCGGGGGTTCGTAGAAAGCTGAGGCCCGTTCGCGGGGGTGATTTTTGGAGTTGACGACATGCCTCGTCGTCACCATCAGTGGTTTCGTCAGCAGCCATGGCGAGGGCCAGAGGGGTAGATGCAGGAGCTGGGCCTACGCTAGCTGTATGAGAGCGTGGTGGTGGGGTGGTTTCCAAACCCTAGACTAGACGAGATAGCGAGGAGGCAGAATTGAGAAATGAAACGAGGAGGACTGGGTTGGGTGCGTGGGAGAGACTGGTCCGTGGGTGGGGCCCTGCTGGGGACGGAAGAAGATGCTTCCAAGCAGGACACACCTCCTGCACGAAGCAGGTGTGTGTGGCGCTGCGCGGCATTGCCAGCTGGGAAAATTGCAGGTGAGCCAGGTACAGTTTACGGGACTATGGCAGTGGCGACGCGAGCCGTCAAAGCGACTCGCACATCTGCTGACTCAGGCAAAACGCCGCTAATCACGGCCCAAATCTCATCAGTACCCCCCCCCCCCCCCCCCCTCCGCCGCGTCAAATCGCATCAGGGTGGTACGCGACACTAGTCTTTGTCATCAGGGCGAGTACACCAGGCCTGTCTTAAATATCAGTGTTAACCAAATGAGCACTTTTTCGGCTAAGGGTGCCTCATAAAACAACTTTTAAAAACAAGGGTGATCACCTAAACCCACCCTTATAGTAAGGGCCATAAGGGTGTTTTACCCTGATATCGAGAGGCCTGACCAGAGGCTAACTGCAGTGATGATGATGAGTAAATGAACCCTCTGTTGCTGATGCTTGCTAGCTAGTTAGTGTTATCTTATTTGAAGTTCAATATCAACATCCACAAAAAGGGAACACTGATGCATCAGCCTTTTTTTTAAGGTAACACTGAATTATCAAGCTTTTTTTGGGGGGGAACACTGACGACCAGGGATTCTACACAGAGGGACCCTGATGCATTAACGTGCCTACAAGTGAATAATAGGCCCTGGTTAACAGTCGCGAAAGTTGATTTGCGGTTGTAGACCTTGCGTGCTCTATATGGGCTAACACAGTAGTCGTACAGGTGTTGCTTCGCTAATGGCAGGTGCGGTAAGGTTACACCTTCTGAAATGCTAAAACACCTTTCGGTTATTCCAATATTGATGTTGCGTTTGTTAATGCAAGAAGTCAAAGACACTATAATTATTTAGAAAGGACAAACATTCTAAATGGGTTTAACGATTTTGTGATTATATACCAAACCCCTGTTTGTTTCACGAGTGGTTCCCCAGCGCTGTGCTCATGCCCCGCCACATCACCCAGCTCACCCTCTCAAAGCTTCCGTTTTTGCCACCTCGCTTTGTGATCCAACCTCGTCCGTCCCATCCACACCTCCCACCTCGCACCCACCAGGCACGCACCCACCACCAGCACCTAGCACGAAGCGCGCGGCTGCGCCATGGACATGCTGCTCGTTTCGTCGCCCTTTCCGCGAGCCTCGCTCGCCCCGACATCGGCGCGCACGTCGCTGCGCTCCTCACATGCCGGCCGGCCGTTGCTAGCCGCCCCCAGGTACGGCCTCGCTGGGCGAGCGGTGCCAAGCTGCGCGACATGCACTGCGCGCCGAATGCTTCCGGGTGGGACCGCCGGCTGCGCGACGCCCCGCTTAGTCTGAACGCCGTGCGACGATTCTCGCTCGCGCTCGAGGGTTCTCCTCGTCGCACACCACTTCTTTCAGCTTGCTACCAACTCGCGATCCGAATGCTGCTGCCGCGTCGACAGTCGACAGCAATTAGCGCTTATATCGCGAACTGGCAATGTGCGGCGATTAAAAAGCGGGCCGTTGTCGCCCGAGCTCGTTGATGCGACGATGATGGCGAGCAGGTTGCTGCGTCGCAATGCTCATCGCAATGTAGCGATGCTGGTCGCACAGACGGACTCCGTGCTCCCTCCGCCTCTCGCTCACGCACCCCCCAACTTCCCCACCTTCTTTCCCCCATCTCTCCTCTTCCCACCCCACCCTCTCACCACGCCTGTCTCAGGCGTGTGTCGCTGCCTGGGGGCCCGGCCGCCAGCAGCAAAAGGGGGAGGGGCGCAGTGAGGGTAGTGGCGGAGGTGGGGGAGGCGGAAATGGAGAGGGGGAGAGCCGCCATGCGCCAGTGGTGAGTGCGGGAGGGGTGGTGGGTGCGCCACGGGTGGTGGGTGCGCCACGGGTGGTGGGTGCGCCACGGGTGGTGGGTGCGCCACGGGTGGTGGGTGCGCCACGGGTGGTGGGTGGGTGTTGAGTTGTCGCTCTCTCACTTCCCCACATGCCTCGCTCCTCCACCGGTCATCAATCTTCCTTCACACCCGCCCTCCCGCCCTGCCACGCCTCACACCATCCGCGTGCCTCCCTCCCGCCCTCTTCGATACGCTGGCCAACCCGCCACCCCCCATCTCAACCTTTCACCATGATATCCCGCACTCCCATGCTCTCCCGCACTCCCATGCTCTCCCGCACTCCCATGCTCTCCCGCACTCCCATGCTCTCCCGCACTCCCATGCTCTCCCGCACTCCCATGCTCTCCCGCACTCCCATGATATCCCGCACTCCCATGCTCTCCCGCACTCCCATGCTCTCCCGCACTCCCATGCTCTCCCGCACTCCCATGCTCTCCCGCACTCCCATGCTCTCCCGCACTCCCATGCTCTCCCGCACTCCCATGCTCTCCCGCACTCCCATGATTTCCCGCACTCCCATGCTCTCCCGCACTCCCATGCTCTCCCGCACTCCCATGCTCTCCCGCACTCCCATGCTCTCCCGCACTCCCATGCTCTCCCGCACTCCCATGCTCTCCCGCACTCCCATGCTCTCCCGCACTCCCATGATATCCCGCACTCCCATGCTCTCCCGCACTCCCATGCTCTCCCGCACTCCCATGCTCTCCCGCACTCCCATGCTCTCCCGCACTCCCATGCTCTCCCGCACTCCCATGCTCTCCCGCACTCCCATGCTCTCCCGCACTCCCATGATATCCCGCACTCCCATGCTCTCCCGCACTCCCATGCTCTCCCGCACTCCCATGCTCTCCCGCACTCCCATGATATCCCGCACTCCCATGCTCTCCCGCACTCCCATGATATCCCGCACTCCCATGCTCTCCCGCACTCCCATGCTCTCCCGCACTCCCATGCTCTCCCGCACTCCCATGCTCTCCCGCACTCCCATGCTCTCCCGCACTCCCATGATATCCCGCACTCCCATGCTCTCCCGCACTCCCATGATATCCCGCACTCCCATGCTCTCCCGCACTCCCATGCTCTCCCGCACTCCCATGCTCTCCCGCACTCCCATGCTCTCCCGCACTCCCATGATATCCCGCACTCCCATGCTCTCCCGCACTCCCATGCTCTCCCGCACTCCCATGCTCTCCCGCACTCCCATGATATCCCGCACTCCCATGCTCTCCCGCACTCCCATGATATCCCGCACTCCCATGCTCTCCCGCACTCCCATGCTCTCCCGCACTCCCATGCTCTCCCGCACTCCCATGATATCCCGCACTCCCATGCTCTCCCGCACTCCCATGCTCTCACGCACTCCCATGCTCTCCCGCACTCCCATGATATCCCGCACTCCCATGCTCTCCCGCACTCCCATGATATCCCGCACTCCCATGCTCTCCCGCACTCCCATGCTCTCCCGCACTCCCATGCTCTCCCGCACTCCCATGATATCCCGCACTCCCATGCTCTCCCGCACTCCCATGATATCCCGCACTCCCATGCTCTCCCGCACTCCCATGCTCTCCCGCACTCCCATGCTCTCCCGCACTCCCATGCTCTCCCGCACTCCCATGCTCTCCCGCACTCCCATGATATCCCGCACTCCCATGCTCTCCCGCACTCCCATGCTCTCCCGCACTCCCATGCTCTCCCGCACTCCCATGATATCCCGCACTCCCATGCTCTCCCGCACTCCCATGATATCCCGCACTCCCATGCTCTCCCGCACTCCCATGATATCCCGCACTCCCATGCTCTCCCGCACTCCCATGCTCTCCCGCACTCCCATGCTCTCCCGCACTCCCATGCTCTCCCGCACTCCCATGCTCTCCCGCACTCCCATGCTCTCCCGCACTCCCATGCTCTCCTGCACTCCCATGATATCCCGCACTCCCATGCTCTCCCGCACTCCCATGCTCTCCCGCACTCCCATGCTCTCCCGCACTCCCATGCTCTCCCGCACTCCCATGCTCTCCCGCACTCCCATGCTCTCCCGCACTCCCATGCTCTCCCGCACTCCCATGCTCTCCCGCACTCCCATGCTCTCCCGCACTCCCATGATATCCCGCACTCCCATGCTCTCCCGCACTCCCATGATATCCCGCACTCCCATGCTCTCCCGCACTCCCATGCTCTCCCGCACTCCCATGCTCTCCCGCACTCCCATGCTCTCCCGCACTCCCATGCTCTCCCGCACTCCCATGCTCTCCCGCACTCCCATGCTCTCCCGCACTCCCATGCTCTCCCGCACTCCCATGCTCTCCCGCACTCCCATGCTCTCCCGCACTCCCATGATATCCCGCACTCCCATGCTCTCCCGCACTCCCATGCTCTCCTGCACTCCCATGCTCTCCCGCACTCCCATGCTCTCCCGCACTCCCATGCTCTCCCGCACTCCCATGCTCTCCCGCACTCCCATGCTCTCCCGCACTCCCATGATATCCCGCACTCCCATGCTCTCCCGCACTCCCATGCTCTCCCGCACTCCCATGCTCTCCCGCACTCCCATGATATCCCGCACTCCCATGCTCTCCCGCACTCCCATGATATCCCGCACTCCCATGCTCTCCCGCACTCCCATGCTCTCCCGCACTCCCATGCTCTCCCGCACTCCCATGCTCTCCCGCACTCCCATGCTCTCCCGCACTCCCATGATATCCCGCACTCCCATGCTCTCCCGCACTCCCATGATATCCCGCACTCCCATGCTCTCCCGCACTCCCATGCTCTCCCGCACTCCCATGCTCTCCCGCACTCCCATGCTCTCCCGCACTCCCGCACTCCCATGATATCCCGCACTCCCATGCTCTCCCGCACTCCCATGCTCTCCCGCACTCCCATGCTCTCCCGCACTCCCATGCTCTCCCGCACTCCCATGCTCTCCCGCACTCCCATGCTCTCCCGCACTCCCATGCTCTCCCGCACTCCCATGATATCCCGCACTCCCATGCTCTCCCGCACTCCCATGCTCTCCCGCACTCCCATGCTCTCCCGCACTCCCATGATATCCCGCACTCCCATGCTCTCCCGCACTCCCATGATATCCCGCACTCCCATGCTCTCCCGCACTCCCATGCTCTCCCGCACTCCCATGCTCTCCCGCACTCCCATGATATCCCGCACTCCCATGCTCTCCCGCACTCCCATGCTCTCCCGCACTCCCATGCTCTCCCGCACTCCCATGATATCCCGCACTCCCATGCTCTCCCGCACTCCCATGCTCTCCCGCACTCCCATGCTCTCCCGCACTCCCATGCTCTCCCGCACTCCCATGATATCCCGCACTCCCATGCTCTCCCGCACTCCCATGCTCTCCCGCACTCCCATGATATCCCGCACTCCCATGCTCTCCCGCACTCCCATGATATCCCGCACTCCCATGCTCTCCCGCACTCCCATGCTCTCCCGCACTCCCATGCTCTCCCGCACTCCCATGATATCCCGCACTCCCATGCTCTCCCGCACTCCCATGCTCTCCCGCACTCCCATGCTCTCCCGCACTCCCATGATATCCCGCACTCCCATGCTCTCCCGCACTCCCATGCTCTCCCGCACTCCCATGCTCTCCCGCACTCCCATGCTCTCCCGCACTCCCATGATATCCCGCACTCCCATGCTCTCCCGCACTCCCATGCTCTCCCGCACTCCCATGCTCTCCCGCACTCCCATGATATCCCGCACTCCCATGCTCTCCCGCACTCCCATGATATCCCGCACTCCCATGCTCTCCCGCACTCCCATGCTCTCCCGCACTCCCATGCTCTCCCGCACTCCCATGATATCCCGCACTCCCATGCTCTCCCGCACTCCCATGCTCTCCCGCACTCCCATGCTCTCCCGCACTCCCATGCTCTCCCGCACTCCCATGATATCCCGCACTCCCATGCTCTCCCGCACTCCCATGCTCTCCCGCACTCCCATGCTCTCCCGCACTCCCATGATATCCCGCACTCCCATGCTCTCCCGCACTCCCATGATATCCCGCACTCCCATGCTCTCCCGCACTCCCATGCTCTCCCGCACTCCCATGCTCTCCCGCACTCCCATGATATCCCGCACTCCCATGCTCTCCCGCACTCCCATGCTCTCCCGCACTCCCATGCTCTCCCGCACTCCCATGATATCCCGCACTCCCATGCTCTCCCGCACTCCCATGATATCCCGCACTCCCATGCTCTCCCGCACTCCCATGATATCCCGCACTCCCATGCTCTCCCGCACTCCCATGCTCTCCCGCACTCCCATGCTCTCCCGCACTCCCATGATATCTCGCACTCCCATGCTCTCCCGCACTCCCATGCTCTCCCGCACTCCCATGCTCTCCCGCACTCCCATGCTCTCCCGCACTCCCATGATATCCCGCACTCCCATGCTCTCCCGCACTCCCATGCTCTCCCGCACTCCCACGCTCTCCCGCACTCCCATGATATCCCGCACTCCCATGCTCTCCCGCACTCCCATGATATCCCGCACTCCCATGCTCTCCCGCACTCCCATGCTCTCCCGCACTCCCATGCTCTCCCGCACTCCCATGATATCCCGCACTCCCATGCTCTCCCGCACTCCCATGCTCTCCCGCACTCCCATGCTCTCCCGCACTCCCATGCTCTCCCGCACTCCCATGATATCCTGCACTCCCATGCTCTCCCGCACTCCCATGATATCCCGCACTCCCATGCTCTCCCGCACTCCCATGCTCTCCCGCACTCCCATGCTCTCCCGCACTCCCATGATATCCCGCACTCCCATGCTCTCCCGCACTCCCATGCTCTCCCTCACTCCCATGCTCTCCCGCACTCCCATGCTCTCCCGCACTCCCATGATATCCCGCACTCCCATGCTCTCCCGCACTCCCATGCTCTCCCGCACTCCCATGCTCTCCCGCACTCCCATGCTCTCCCGCACTCCCATGATATCCCGCACTCCCATGCTCTCCCGCACTCCCATGATATCCCGCACTCCCATGCTCTCCCGCACTCCCATGATATCCCGCACTCCCATGCTCTCCCGCACTCCCATGCTCTCCCGCACTCCCATGCTCTCCCGCACTCCCATGATATCCCGCACTCCCATGCTCTCCCGCACTCCCATGCTCTCCCGCACTCCCATGCTCTCCCGCACTCCCATGCTCTCCCGCACTCCCATGCTCTCCCGCACTCCCATGATATCCCGCACTCCCATGCTCTCCCGCACTCCCATGATATCCCGCACTCCCATGCTCTCCCGCACTCCCATGATATCCCGCACTCCCATGCTCTCCCGCACTCCCATGCTCTCCCGCACTCCCATGCTCTCCCGCACTCCCATGATATCCCGCACTCCCATGCTCTCCCGCACTCCCATGCTCTCCCGCACTCCCATGCTCTCCCGCACTCCCATGCTCTCCCGCACTCCCATGATATCCCGCACTCCCATGCTCTCCCGCACTCCCATGCTCTCCCGCACTCCCATGCTCTCCCGCACTCCCATGATATCCCGCACTCCCATGCTCTCCCGCACTCCCATGATATCCCGCACTCCCATGCTCTCCCGCACTCCCATGCTCTCCCGCACTCCCATGCTCTCCCGCACTCCCATGATATCCCGCACTCCCATGCTCTCCCGCACTCCCATGCTCTCCCGCACTCCCATGCTCTCCCGCACTCCCATGATATCCCGCACTCCCATGCTCTCCCGCACTCCCATGATATCCCGCACTCCCATGCTCTCCCGCACTCCCATGCTCTCCCGCACTCCCATGCTCTCCCGCACTCCCATGATATCCCGCACTCCCATGCTCTCCCGCACTCCCATGCTCTCCCGCACTCCCATGCTCTCCCGCACTCCCATGATATCCCGCACTCCCATGCTCTCCCGCACTCCCATGATATCCCGCACTCCCATGCTCTCCCGCACTCCCATGCTCTCCCGCACTCCCATGCTCTCCCGCACTCCCATGATATCCCGCACTCCCATGCTCTCCCGCACTCCCATGCTCTCCCGCACTCCCATGCTCTCCCGCACTCCCATGATATCCCGCACTCCCATGCTCTCCCGCACTCCCATGATATCCCGCACTCCCATGCTCTCCCGCACTCCCATGATATCCCGCACTCCCATGATATCCCGCACTCCCATGCTCTCCCGCACTCCCATGCTCTCCCGCACTCCCATGCTCTCCCGCACTCCCATGATATCCCGCACTCCCATGCTCTCCCGCACTCCCATGATATCCCGCACTCCCATGCTCTCCCGCACTCCCATGCTCTCCCGCACTCCCATGCTCTCCCGCACTCCCATGATATCCCGCACTCCCATGCTCTCCCGCACTCCCATGCTCTCCCGCACTCCCATGCTCTCCCGCACTCCCATGCTCTCCCGCACTCCCATGCTCTCCCGCACTCCCATGCTCTCCCGCACTCCCATGATATCCCGCACTCCCATGCTCTCCCGCACTCCCATGATATCCCGCACTCCCATGCTCTCCCGCACTCCCATGATATCCCGCACTCCCATGCTCTCCCGCACTCCCATGCTCTCCCGCACTCCCATGCTCTCCCGCACTCCCATGATATCCCGCACTCCCATGCTCTCCCGCACTCCCATGCTCTCCCGCACTCCCATGCTCTCCCGCACTCCCATGCTCTCCTGCACTCCCATGATATCCCGCACTCCCATGCTCTCCCGCACTCCCATGCTCTCCCGCACTCCCATGCTCTCCCGCACTCCCATGATATCCCGCACTCCCATGCTCTCCCGCACTCCCATGATATCCCGCACTCCCATGCTCTCCCGCACTCCCATGCTCTCCCGCACTCCCATGCTCTCCCGCACTCCCATGATATCCCGCACTCCCATGCTCTCCCGCACTCCCATGCTCTCCCGCACTCCCATGCTCTCCCGCACTCCCATGATATCCCGCACTCCCATGCTCTCCCGCACTCCCATGATATCCCGCACTCCCATGCTCTCCCGCACTCCCATGCTCTCCCGCACTCCCATGATATCCCGCACTCCCATGCTCTCCCGCACTCCCATGCTCTCCCGCACTCCCATGCTCTCCCGCACTCCCATGATATCCCGCACTCCCATGCTCTCCCGCACTCCCATGCTCTCCCGCACTCCCATGCTCTCCCGCACTCCCATGCTCTCCCGCACTCCCATGCTCTCCCGCACTCCCATGCTCTCCCGCACTCCCATGCTCTCCCGCACTCCCATGATATCCCGCACTCCCATGCTCTCCCGCACTCCCATGCTCTCCCGCACTCCCATGCTCTCCCGCACTCCCATGATATCCCGCACTCCCATGCTCTCCCGCACTCCATGATATCCCGCACTCCCATGCTCTCCCGCACTCCCATGCTCTCCCGCACTCCCATGCTCTCCCGCACTCCCATGATATCCCGCACTCCCATGCTCTCCCGCACTCCCATGCTCTCCCGCACTCCCATACTCTCCCGCACTCCCATAATATCCCGCACTCCCATGCTCTCCCGCACTCCCATGCTCTCCCGCACTCCCATGCTCTCCCGCACTCCCATGCTCTCCCGCACTCCCATGATATCCCGCACTCCCATGCTCTCCCGCACTCCCATGCTCTCCCGCACTCCCATGCTCTCCCGCACTCCCATGATATCCCGCACTCCCATGCTCTCCCGCACTCCCATGATATCCCGCACTCCCATGCTCTCCCGCACTCCCATGCTCTCCCGCACTCCCATGATATCCCGCACTCCCATGCTCTCCCGCACTCCCATGCTCTCCCGCACTCCCATGCTCTCCCGCACTCCCATGCTCTCCCGCACTCCCATGATATCCCGCACTCCCATGCTCTCCCGCACTCCCATGCTCTCCCGCACTCCCATGCTCTCCCGCACTCCCATGCTCTCCCGCACTCCCATGATATCCCGCACTCCCATGCTCTCCCGCACTCCCATGATATCCCGCACTCCCATGCTCTCCCGCACTCCCATGATATCCCGCACTCCCATGCTCTCCCGCACTCCCATGCTCTCCCGCACTCCCATGCTCTCCCGCACTCCCATGATATCCCGCACTCCCATGCTCTCCCGCACTCCCATGCTCTCCCGCACTCCCATGATATCCCGCACTCCCATGCTCTCCCGCACTCCCATGCTCTCCCGCACTCCCATGATATCCCGCACTCCCATGCTCTCCCGCACTCCCATGCTCTCCCGCACTCCCATGATATCCCGCACTCCCATGCTCTCCCGCACTCCCATGCTCTCCCGCACTCCCATGATATCCCGCACTCCCATGCTCTCCCCGCACTCCCATGCTCTCCCGCACTCCCATGCTCTCCCGCACTCCCATGCTCTCCCGCACTCCCATGATATCCCGCACTCCCATGCTCTCCCGCACTCCCATGCTCTCCCGCACTCCCATGATATCCCGCACTCCCATGCTCTCCCGCACTCCCATGCTCTCCCGCACTCCCATGCTCTCCCGCACTCCCATGCTCTCCCGCACTCCCATGATATCCCGCACTCCCATGCTCTCCCGCACTCCCATGCTCTCCCGCACTCCCATGCTCTCCCGCACTCCCATGCTCTCCCGCACTCCCATGATATCCCGCACTCCCATGCTCTCCCGCACTCCCATGCTCTCCCGCACTCCCATGATATCCCGCACTCCCATGCTCTCCCGCACTCCCATGCTCTCCCGCACTCCCATGATATCCCGCACTCCCATGCTCTCCCGCACTCCCATGCTCTCCCGCACTCCCATGCTCTCCCGCACTCCCATGATATCCCGCACTCCCATGCTCTCCCGCACTCCCATGCTCTCCCGCACTCCCATGATATCCCGCACTCCCATGCTCTCCCGCACTCCCATGCTCTCCCGCACTCCCATGCTCTCCCGCACTCCCATGATATCCCGCACTCCCATGCTCTCCCGCACTCCCATGCTCTCCCGCACTCCCATGATATCCCGCACTCCCATGCTCTCCCGCACTCCCATGCTCTCCCGCACTCCCATGATATCCCGCACTCCCATGCTCTCCCGCACTCCCATGCTCTCCCGCACTCCCATGCTCTCCCGCACTCCCATGCTCTCCCGCACTCCCATGATATCCCGCACTCCCATGCTCTCCCGCACTCCCATGCTCTCCCGCACTCCCATGCTCTCCCGCACTCCCATGATATCCCGCACTCCCATGCTCTCCCGCACTCCCATGCTCTCCCGCACTCCCATGATATCCCGCACTCCCATGCTCTCCCGCACTCCCATGCTCTCCCGCACTCCCATGCTCTCCCGCACTCCCATGCTCTCCCGCACTCCCATGCTCTCCCGCACTCCCATGATATCCCGCACTCCCATGCTCTCCCGCACTCCCATGCTCTCCCGCACTCCCATGATATCCCGCACTCCCATGCTCTCCCGCACTCCCATGCTCTCCCGCACTCCCATGCTCTCCCGCACTCCCATGATATCCCGCACTCCCATGCTCTCCCGCACTCCCATGCTCTCCCGCACTCCCATGATATCCCGCACTCCCATGCTCTCCCGCACTCCCATGCTCTCCCGCACTCCCATGATATCCCGCACTCCCATGCTCTCCCGCACTCCCATGCTCTCCCGCACTCCCATGCTCTCCCGCACTCCCATGCTCTCCCGCACTCCCATGCTCTCCCGCACTCCCATGATATCCCGCACTCCCATGCTCTCCCGCACTCCCATGCTCTCCCGCACTCCCATGATATCCCGCACTCCCATGCTCTCCCGCACTCCCATGCTCTCCCGCACTCCCATGATATCCCGCACTCCCATGCTCTCCCGCACTCCCATGCTCTCCCGCACTCCCATGATATCCCGCACTCCCATGCTCTCCCGCACTCCCATGCTCTCCCGCACTCCCATGCTCTCCCGCACTCCCATGCTCTCCCGCACTCCCATGATATCCCGCACTCCCATGCTCTCCCGCACTCCCATGCTCTCCCGCACTCCCATGATATCCCGCACTCCCATGCTCTCCCGCACTCCCATGCTCTCCCGCACTCCCATGATATCCCGCACTCCCATGCTCTCCCGCACTCCCATGCTCTCCCGCACTCCCATGCTCTCCCGCACTCCCATGATATCCCGCACTCCCATGCTCTCCCGCACTCCCATGCTCTCCCGCACTCCCATGATATCCCGCACTCCCATGCTCTCCCGCACTCCCATGCTCTCCCGCACTCCCATGCTCTCCCGCACTCCCATGATATCCCGCACTCCCATGCTCTCCCGCACTCCCATGCTCTCCCGCACTCCCATGATATCCCGCACTCCCATGCTCTCCCGCACTCCCATGCTCTCCCGCACTCCCATGATATCCCGCACTCCCATGCTCTCCCGCACTCCCATGCTCTCCCGCACTCCCATGCTCTCCCGCACTCCCATGCTCTCCCGCACTCCCATGATATCCCGCACTCCCATGCTCTCCCGCACTCCCATGCTCTCCCGCACTCCCATGATATCCCGCACTCCCATGCTCTCCCGCACTCCCATGCTCTCCCGCACTCCCATGATATCCCGCACTCCCATGCTCTCCCGCACTCCCATGCTCTCCCGCACTCCCATGATATCCCGCACTCCCATGCTCTCCCGCACTCCCATGCTCTCCCGCACTCCCATGCTCTCCCGCACTCCCATGCTCTCCCGCACTCCCATGATATCCCGCACTCCCATGCTCTCCCGCACTCCCATGCTCTCCCGCACTCCCATGATATCCCGCACTCCCATGCTCTCCCGCACTCCCATGATATCCCGCACTCCCATGCTCTCCCGCACTCCCATGATATCCCGCACTCCCATGCCCGCACTCCCATGATATCCCGCACTCCCATGCTCTCCCGCACTCCCATGCTCTCCCGCACTCCATGATATCCCGCACTCCCATGCTCTCCCGCACTCCCATGCTCTCCCGCACTCCCATGATATCCCGCACTCCCATGCTCTCCCGCACTCCCATGCTCTCCCGCACTCCCATGATATCCCGCACTCCCATGCTCTCCCGCACTCCCATGCTCTCCCGCACTCCCATGCTCTCCCGCACTCCCATGCTCTCCCGCACTCCCATGATATCCCGCACTCCCATGCTCTCCCGCACTCCCATGCTCTCCCGCACTCCCATGATATCCCGCACTCCCATGCTCTCCCGCACTCCCATGCTCTCCCGCACTCCCATGCTCTCCCGCACTCCCATGATATCCCGCACTCCCATGCTCTCCCGCACTCCCATGCTCTCCCGCACTCCCATGATATCCCGCACTCCCATGCTCTCCCGCACTCCCATGCTCTCCCGCACTCCCATGATATCCCGCACTCCCATGCTCTCCCGCACTCCCATGATATCCCGCACTCCCATGCTCTCCCGCACTCCCATGCTCTCCCGCACTCCCATGCTCTCCCGCACTCCCATGCTCTCCCGCACTCCCATGATATCCCGCACTCCCATGCTCTCCCGCACTCCCATGCTCTCCCGCACTCCCATGATATCCCGCACTCCCATGCTCTCCCGCACTCCCATGCTCTCCCGCACTCCCATGATATCCCGCACTCCCATGCTCTCCCGCACTCCCATGCTCTCCCGCACTCCCATGATATCCCGCACTCCCATGCTCTCCCGCACTCCCATGCTCTCCCGCACTCCCATGCTCTCCCGCACTCCCATGCTCTCCCGCACTCCCATGAGATCCCGCACTCCCATGCTATCCCGCACTCCCATGCTCTCCCGCACTCCCATGCTCTCCCGCACTCCCATGCTCTCCCGCACTCCCATGCTCTCCCGCACTCCCATGATATCCCGCACTCCCATGCTCTCCCGCACTCCCATGCTCTCCCGCACTCCCATGATATCCCACACTCCCATGCTCTCCCGCACTCCCATGCTCTCCCGCACTCCCATGATATCCCGCACTCCCATGCTCTCCCGCACTCCCATGCTCTCCCGCACTCCCATGATATCCCGCACTCCCATGCTCTCCCGCACTCCCATGATATCCCGCACTCCCATGCTCTCCCGCACTCCCATGCTCTCCCGCACTCCCATGATATCCCGCACTCCCATGCTCTCCCGCACTCCCATGCTCTCCCGCACTCCCATGATATCCCGCACTCCCATGCTCTCCCGCACTCCCATGCTCTCCCGCACTCCCATGATATCCCGCACTCCCATGCTCTCCCGCACTCCCATGCTCTCCCGCACTCCCATGCTCTCCCGCACTCCCATGCTCTCCCGCACTCCCATGATATCCCGCACTCCCATGCTATCCCGCACTCCCATGCTCTCCCGCACTCCCATGCTCTCCCGCACTCCCATGCTCTCCCGCACTCCCATGCTCTCCCGCACTCCCATGATATCCCGCACTCCCATGCTCTCCCGCACTCCCATGCTCTCCCGCACTCCCATGATATCCCGCACTCCCATGCTCTCCCGCACTCCCATGCTCTCCCGCACTCCCATGATATCCCGCACTCCCATGCTCTCCCGCACTCCCATGCTCTCCCGCACTCCCATGCTCTCCCGCACTCCCATGATATCCCGCACTCCCATGCTCTCCCGCACTCCCATGCTCTCCCGCACTCCCATGATATCCCGCACTCCCATGCTCTCCCGCACTCCCATGCTCTCCCGCACTCCCATGATATCCCGCACTCCCATGCTCTCCCGCACTCCCATGATATCCCGCACTCCCATGCTCTCCCGCACTCCCATGCTCTCCCGCACTCCCATGCTCTCCCGCACTCCCATGCTCTCCCGCACTCCCATGTCCCGCACTCCCATGATATCCCGCACTCCCATGCTCTCCCGCACTCCCATGCTCTCCCGCACTCCCATGATATCCCGCACTCCCATGCTCTCCCGCACTCCCATGCTCTCCCGCACTCCCATGATATCCCGCACTCCCATGCTCTCCCGCACTCCCATGCTCTCCCGCACTCCCATGATATCCCGCACTCCCATGCTCTCCCGCACTCCCATGCTCTCCCGCACTCCCATGCTCTCCCGCACTCCCATGCTCTCCCGCACTCCCATGATATCCCGCACTCCCATGCTATCCCGCACTCCCATGCTCTCCCGCACTCCCATGCTCTCCCGCACTCCCATGCTCTCCCGCACTCCCATGCTCTCCCGCACTCCCATGATATCCCGCACTCCCATGCTCTCCCGCACTCCCATGCTCTCCCGCACTCCCATGATATCCCGCACTCCCATGCTCTCCCGCACTCCCATGCTCTCCCGCACTCCCATGATATCCCGCACTCCCATGCTCTCCCGCACTCCCATGCTCTCCCGCACTCCCATGATATCCCGCACTCCCATGCTCTCCCGCACTCCCATGATATCCCGCACTCCCATGCTCTCCCGCACTCCCATGCTCTCCCGCACTCCCATGATATCCCGCACTCCCATGCTCTCCCGCACTCCCATGCTCTCCCGCACTCCCATGATATCCCGCACTCCCATGCTCTCCCGCACTCCCATGCTCTCCCGCACTCCCATGATATCCCGCACTCCCATGCTCTCCCGCACTCCCATGCTCTCCCGCACTCCCATGCTCTCCCGCACTCCCATGCTCTCCCGCACTCCCATGATATCCCGCACTCCCATGCTATCCCGCACTCCCATGCTCTCCCGCACTCCCATGCTCTCCCGCACTCCCATGCTCTCCCGCACTCCCATGCTCTCCCGCACTCCCATGATATCCCGCACTCCCATGCTCTCCCGCACTCCCATGCTCTCCCGCACTCCCATGATATCCCGCACTCCCATGCTCTCCCGCACTCCCATGCTCTCCCGCACTCCCATGATATCCCGCACTCCCATGCTCTCCCGCACTCCCATGATATCCCGCACTCCCATGCTCTCCCGCACTCCCATGCTCTCCCGCACTCCCATGATATCCCGCACTCCCATGCTCTCCCGCACTCCCATGCTCTCCCGCACTCCCATGCTCTCCCGCACTCCCATGCTCTCCCGCACTCCCATGATATCCCGCACTCCCATGCTATCCCGCACTCCCATGCTCTCCCGCACTCCCATGCTCTCCCGCACTCCCATGCTCTCCCGCACTCCCATGCTCTCCCGCACTCCCATGATATCCCGCACTCCCATGCTCTCCCGCACTCCCATGCTCTCCCGCACTCCCATGATATCCCGCACTCCCATGCTCTCCCGCACTCCCATGCTCTCCCGCACTCCCATGATATCCCGCACTCCCATGCTCTCCCGCACTCCCATGCTCTCCCGCACTCCCATGATATCCCGCACTCCCATGCTCTCCCGCACTCCCATGCTCTCCCGCACTCCCATGCTCTCCCGCACTCCCATGCTCTCCCGCACTCCCATGCTCTCCCGCACTCCCATGCTCTCCCGCACTCCCATGCTCTCCCGCACTCCCATGCTCTCCCGCACTCCCATGCTCTCCTGCACTCCCATGCTCTCCTGCACGCCACCCTGCCAAGCGCGCTCGCAACTCTACCGTTGTTCGCCTCTCCCCAATGTTTCCCGCGCGCTCATGCTGTCTCTCCGCGCGTGGCGCAGGTGGCAGGCGCAGCAGGCGGCCAAGGCAGGGCAGCGGGGCGGCCAGGGGGCGGTGGCCGTGGCGGACGGGGAGGGGGAGGGGGCGCAGGCGAGCATGGATGCTGCGCGCGCTGAGATGAGGGCGTGGTGAGCTGAGCGCACTAATGGGGGAGGGCTGAGCGCACTCATGGGGGAGGGGTGAGCGCACTCATGGGGGAGGGGTGAGCGCACTCATGGGGGAGGGGTGAGCGCACACGTGGGGGAGGGGTGAGCGCACTCATGGGGGAGGGGTGAGCGCACTCATGGGGGAGGGGTGAGCGCACTCATGGGGGAGGGGTGAGCGCACTCATGGGGGAGGGGTGAGCGCACTCATGGGGGAGGGGTGAGCGCACTCATGGGGGAGGGGTGAGCGCACTCATGGGGGAGGGGTGAGCGCACTCATGGGGGAGGGGTGAGCGCACTCATGGGGGAGGGGTGAGCGCACTCATGGGGGAGGGGTGAGCGCACTCATGGGGGAGGGGTGAGCGCACTCATGGGGGAGGGGTGAGCGCACTCATGGGGGAGGGGTGAGCGCACTCATGGGGGAGGGGTGAGCGCACTCATGGGGGAGGGGTGAGCGCACTCATGGGGGAGGGGTGAGCGCACTCATGGGGGAGGGGTGAGCGCACTCATGGGGGAGGGGTGAGCGCACTCATGGGGGAGGGGTGAGCGCACTCATGGGGGAGGGGTGAGCGCACTCATGGGGGAGGGGTGAGCGCACTCATGGGGGAGGGGTGAGCGCACTCATGGGGGAGGGGTGAGCGCACTCATGGGGGAGGGGTGAGCGCACTCATGGGGGAGGGGTGAGCGCACTCATGGGGGAGGGGTGAGCGCACTCATGGGGGAGGGGTGAGCGCACTCATGGGGGAGGGGTGAGCGCACTCATGGGGGAGGGGTGAGCGCACTCATGGGGGAGGGGTGAGCGCACACGTGGGGGAGGGGTGAGCGCACACGTGGGGGACGGTGGGATGGGTTGGGGGAGGGGTGAGGGGGAGCGGTGGCGGGGGTGTGATGCGTGGCTGGTGCAAATGGCAGGGAGGGGCACACGAGGTGATAGGAAGAGGAGTGCGAGAGCAGGGATGGTGAGGTGGGTGGAACGCGAGGATGAGTTGCACCCGTGACTCACTCACTCTTCACCGCAACTGACGTGCGCGTCACCATTACTTGCCGGCCCACGCACACCGAGACACCCGGCCTGCTACCGGTCCGAGCCGCCGGCCGTGGGGATGCCGGCCGTGGGGATGCCGGCCGTGGGGATGCCGGCCGTGGGGATGCCGGCCGTGGGGATGCCGGCCGTGGGGATGCCGGCCGTGGGGATGCCGGCCGTGGGGATGCCGGCCGTGGGGATGCCGGCCGTGGGGATGCCGGCCGTGGGGATGCCGGCCGTGGGGATGCCGGCCGTGGGGATGCCGGCCGTGGGGATGCCGGCCGTGGGGATGCCGGCCGTGGGGATGCCGGCCGTGGGGATGCCGGCCGTGGGGATGCCGGCCGTGGGGATGCCGGCCGTGGGGATGCCGGCCGTGGGGATGCCGGCCGTGGGGATGCCGGCCGTGGGGATGCCGGCCCGCAGGTGGCCCGGCGGGCGGAGTCTTTGAAGCTGGCGGTCCGTCCCGCCCTTGAGCTGGGGCGGCGCTCATTCATGCCTGCACATGCTGAGATTCTTCTTATGCTTCTCCTTCCGCATTGCCCCACACTCCACCCCATGCCCCTCCTCGGCCCGCCCTCCCGTTTGCTGTTGTTGCGCCTCTCCGTCCCCCCTCGGACACCAGGTGGGCGGCACAGCAGGCGGGCAAGGGCGAGAAGGCGGGTATGGATGCTGCCCGCGCGCAGATGAGGACGTGGTGAGTGGGGGGAAAGGGGAGAGGGGGAAGGAAAGAGGAAGGGCGGGAGGGGGGTGGGGAGAGAGGGAGGGCGGGAGGAGGAGAGAGAGGGAGGGAAGGGAGGGTGGAGGAGGGGAGCGAGGAGGTAGGGTGAAGGCAAGGGGAGCGGGAAGAATCAAGAAGTGGTGAGAGAGTGTTGCGGGAGAAGGGGAGGGGGGGGTTTGAGGAGGGAAGGGGCGAGGTGGAAGTGAGGAGCGAGTCAGCAGGGAGGGCGAGATATTCAGAGGTGCCTGTCAGCCAGCCACCGTAGATGGGTTCGCCCGCCACACCTCATCACGTCCATGCTTGTGCGCCCCTGCTTATGCGCCCCTGCATGGCTACCAGGTGGATGGAGCAGCAGCAGGCCAAGGCCATGGATGCGGCGCGCGCAGCCATGCGGCAGTGGTGAGTGCAGGCATGAGGCAGTGGTGAGTGCAGGCATGCGGCAGTGGTGAGTGCAGGCATGAGGCAGTGGTGAGTGCAGGCATGAGGCAGTGGTGAGTGCAGGCATGAGGCAGTGGTGAGTGCAGGCATGAGGCAGTGGTGAGTGCAGCCATGAGGCAGTGGTGAGTGCAGGCATGAGGCAGTGGTGAGTGCAGGCATGCGGCAGTGGTGAGTGCAGGCATGAGGCAGTGGTGAGTGCAGGCATGAGGCAGTGGTGAGTGCAGGCATGAGGCAGTGGTGAGTGCAGGCATGCGGCAGTGGTGAGTGCAGGCATGAGGCAGTGGTGAGTGCAGGCATGAGGCAGTGGTGAGTGCAGGCATGAGGCAGTGGTGAGTGCAGGCATGAGGCAGTGGTGAGTGCAGGCATGAGGCAGTGGTGAGTGCAGCCATGAGGCAGTGGTGAGTGCAGGCATGAGGCAGTGGTGAGTGCAGGCATGAGGCAGTGGTGAGTGCAGGCATGAGGCAGTGGTGAGTGCAGCCATGAGGCAGTGGTGAGCGCAGGCATGAGGCAGTGGTGAGTGCAGGCATGAGGCAGTGGTGAGTGCAGGCACGAGGCAGTGGTGAGTGCAGGCATGAGGCAGTGGTGAGTGCAGGCATGAGGCAGTGGTGAGTGCAGGCATGAGGCAGTGGTGAGTGCAGGCATGAGGCAGAGGTGAGTGCAGGCATGAGGCAGTGGTGAGTGCAGGCATGAGGCAGTGGTGAGTGCAGGCATGAGGCAGTGGTGAGTGCAGGCATGAGGCAGTGGTGAGTGCAGGCATGAGGCAGTGGTGAGTGCAGGCATGAGGCAGTGGTGAGTGCAGGCATGAGGCAGTGGTGAGTGCAGGCATGAGGCAGTGGTGAGTGCAGGCATGAGGCAGTGGTGAGTGCAGGCATGAGGCAGTGGTGAGTGCAGGCATGAGGCAGTGGTGAGTGCAGGCATGAGGCAGTGGTGAGTGCAGCCATGAGGCAGTGGTGAGTGCAGGCATGAGGCAGTGGTGAGTGCAGGCATGAGGCAGTGGTGAGTGCAGGCATGAGGCAGTGGAGAGTGCAGGCATGAGGCAGTGGTGAGTGCAGGCATGAGGCAGTGGTGAGTGCAGGCATGAGGCAGTGGTGAGTGCAGGCATGAGGCAGAGGTGAGTGCAGGCATGAGGCAGTGGTGAGTGCAGGCATGAGGCAGTGGTGAGTGCAGGCATGAGGCAGTGGTGAGTGCAGGCATGAGGCAGTGGTGAGTGCAGGCATGAGGCAGTGGTGAGTGCAGGGGAGGTAAGGAGTGTGAGTGAGCCAGGGAAGGTGTCTGCTGCAGCGCTCCCTCTCAAGCGCACACTCCCTCTCAAGTGCACACTCCCTCTCAAGCGCACACTCCCTCTCAAGCGCACACTCCCTCCATCCTCCTAAGCCTGTAAAACAGAGTGCGAGTCAAATGTGAATTCTTCGTAAATATTTTACGGATTCGGACCGAATAGCTGCTATATGTTAAGTGCAAATGCTAATCGGGCCGTTTGAATTGAGTACGAGTTTGTCTAATATTCATTTTTCACACCATCTCGGGCAATCCATTCCCCCGTCTGACCTTACGTCTCATCTCATCTCCTCCATGGGTTCCGTTTTCCACACGTGACTGACATTCAGCTTGCATTGCCTTGGCAATCATGCTTCTTCTTATCATCCCTCACTGATTTATGCGAGTTTAAACTATCGTACCTGATATGCTTCATAGTGTAACACACTAACTGCTTCGTGTGTGACAGATTATACCACGTTTGGTTCAAACTTAAAGAGTATTTGCTGGCACCAGAATCCCTTGAGGATTTTGCGTCTACTTTGGGCATGCTGTGTGTGCTTTGCGCCTTGTTCCCTCCCCCCACCCCCCATGTGCGCCAGGTGGGCGGAGCAGCAGCAAGGCAAGGCCATGGATGCAGGTCGTGCGGAGATGAGGCAATGGTGAGTGTGAGTGTGAACCACGTGGAGGGTGCTGGCTGGGTGCCCCAACTACCATCCCACTCGCCCTCGTGACATCTCTCTCATGCCACACTCGTTTGCATGCTGCCTGTCACCACTTGTGCTTCACCCATCCATTCGCAAACTTACCTTGAAGATATGATATGTGTATGCAAAGCCACTGTATACTCCCGGTGACCATATGCATGTGCGCTTATTTACATAGTTTGCATTTTCGTTTGTCATTCTTACACTTGTGCCGGGCAATCTGTTCCACTATCCTCTGCGCGCCACTCTTCTCTTCTCCCTCTGCCACCCTCGTCTCCTTCCACTGTCCCCCCCCAGGTGGGTGCAGCAGCAGCAGGGCAAGGCCATGGATGCAGCGCGCGCAGAGATGAGGCAATGGTGAGAGCAAGGGAGGGAGGGGTGAGGTTGAGTGTGCGCAGGGAAGCGAACCTTCACTGCCAGCGGGGGCACTCAAACCGGTTCGACCCGAACGAACACGAACTGACTCTTGCTCATTTTTGCATTTGTAGTTTGGACAGTGCGGTTTAAGATTCTCACCATCGCCCTGTACCCGGGCCGGCGGCATGCTGGCAGGTGGGAGCAGCAGCAGCAGGCCAAGGTGGGGGCAGCAGCTGCAGCCGGCATGGAACAGGGCCGAGCGGAAATGAGGGCCTGGTGAGTGCAGCGCAGCGCTGGGGGTATTGCCTTGAGAGGTGAGAGAATGGGGGCTTGCCTTGAGTCCAAGTGATAAATCATGTTCAAATCTCAATTGTGAGTTTGTATTTACGTTTGCCCTCTCACCTCTCCTCTGGCATAGCCCTCAATGCCTAACCTTCCTAGATGTTAGCCCCTTGACATCCAAATTCATTGAGAGTAGTTGATGGATGTGCCGAGCGTCTAGTTGAGTAACTGATTGCAACGTGGAAGTGTGTGAAGAGAATCAGATGCGTGGCATCGCCAGAATGCTCTAGTGAATGTTTGAATTGGGCTGGGCCTCGCTTGGCACGAGTCGGGCCTAGATCAGCCACGGGCCAAATTCCTCACACGTGAGTCAGCCCCATCGCCAAGCCAAGGGGGCCGCCCAGCCCGGGGCAGGTCGGTGTCGTCCCGCCACCGGCCCTTGCCCTTGTCTCTGTAGCACACGTTACACTTAGCACAATCTGCAAAGTGAATTGGCCAAGAAAAATCACCCAGAATGAGTCAACGAATCTAACTCGAGTGTGTTGGCTTGGACAGCAGCAGCTCGTTGGGCCTTTGCAATGAAACGCAAAGGCACACATTGTTCCAAACACCCTTATTCGCGTCATTCCTCCCTGCCACCCTTGTCCCTCCAGGTGGGTGCAGCAGCAGCAGGGCAAGGCCATGGATGCAGCGCGCGCAGAGATGAGGCAATGGTGAGAGCACGTTATTTGTGAGTTGATGCTCCGCCTCCTCCTCTCCACTCTTGTTGCCAGTCAGTCATTCTGGAGTCCTTTGATGCTGCCTGCCTGCATGGACAGACTTGCTTCTTTAGTGCACGAGGCAGCACCCAAGTGGGCAGTCAATGGTCTTCCAAAAAGACTCAAAATTTCTGTTGTTCACCGCATAAGCTGTGCTGTTCACCGCATAAGCTGCGCGAGTGTGTGGATGGGACGGGGCCCAAGCGATTGTGTGGGTTGGGTTTCCATCCCATGGGGCTCGCTAACAACTGACCCGTGTTCCCTTCCTCACCACTCCGCTCCACTCACCATAAACCTTAGCAAACGTTCGTATGCTATGTCGGGCACACAGTTACCTTCAATTTGAATGCCAACTGGCAAATGGCATTCAACCCAACAAGATGTCATGCAGATTGTGGCCTCTCTGTTTCGCGGACGATTGCAGGCAGCCTGTAAAAAGGCCTGTCATTGTGTGTCACGGCATCACCAATGTCGTATCTTAGGGCGTGCTCCTACGGCCCCTTATCAGGCTAACCTCTTATCTGGCTCGGGTCAAACTGCACTGAAACACTCAAAGCGAAAAGCATTGTACCAGGCAAGTCTGACAAGAGGTTTGTCCGACAAGAGGCGTAGGAACACGCCCTTATTTGGAAAATCAGTTTATGATATGTATGGATAGAATCCCACCTCCCTGAAAAATGTGAAGATCGAAGTATCGATACTTGACGTGTATGTAGGCTTCCTATTCCCGCCTAGAGTGGAGGGGGCGTGGACGTACGCATGAGCAGAAGGCAGCTCAGCCCAGGTGAATGTGGTGTGGTGGGCGCCGCCTGCCACACTCTCCACTCATGCCATGCCATGGATACACACCCTCAACCCTCTCTTCATCTACATCTTCTTTTCAAAAGTTTATGCAAATAAACACCACTCAGAATGAAGCAATTTTATTCGTTGACGACATGAAACAGAAAGGAGCACCTGTTGTAATCACCCTGATTCTCATCATTCCTCCCTGCCACTGCTTGTCCCCCAGGTGGGTGCAGCAGCAGCAGGGCAAGGCCATGGATGCAGCGCGAGCAGAGATGAGGCAATGGTGAGAGCAATGGCATGGCAGGCTCACTTTGCTCCGTGACTTCATGCTCCTCCTCCCCCTCTCTACCACTCGTGACTCATGTGCGGATGCCTTTATGCCCAAGGAGGCGGTGTATGGTCAGTAGTGCATGGAGTGGAGAGCACTCAAGGGGAGCTCTCCTCCTCCACACACTCACCTGCTTGTCTTACCAGGCAAGCCGCCACCCTGCCCCACTCAGGCGCAGTTCTGGATGGCTTGTTTTGTTGACTTGTGTCCATGAAGAAGAACATTCACATGCACGCACGCACTGGTTCGACTCGGTCCTCCTCGCTCCGTTGTGCGTCCTCTTTTCTTGGTAACGCAAATGGCCTGCCTGTGTTGGATCTGAAGCGTCCAGGGTCTAGGATGCGTGCGTCCGGTCGTGGGCCAGGCCCCCCTGTTGGACGTTCCCCGGACGCTTGTCCGGGCAGGGGTGAAAATTTTCTCTCCGGGCATGGTAGAAAATAAGGGAAGAGGAGGGAGGAGGGGGGTTTTGGGCACCAGCAAGCATGAAACACAGTTTTTCCCCTTAATCATCCATGAAATTCGCACATAAAGTCTTGTACGGTAGGATCCGCCCCGGAACTACCGGCGACATGCGTCGGATTGGAAGTCGCCATGGCTTAAGAGTGCTCTTAGACTAAGTCGGTGGATTCTAGGGATACTAAGCTAATGGATGTCGGGAGATTCTCGGGTTAGCTAATGGAGGCCGCGTAACTAAGAAACCAGAGAGTGACTACGTCCAACAAATTTGAATCTGTTGAATGCCAATTTGGTTGCGATTGGTAGATGTAGACGGGTGGAGATGTAATTTGCTGGTGTTGCGTTTTTGCAACCCCAGAAACGCACGCCCTGAAGGACAATTTCGACTCAGTTTCAATCGCATAAAAAATCGTCCTTCAATTCCGCGGTCGCGATTTTTCTTTTTTGGGAGGGTTGCCCAGGACCAATTCCGGCCGAATGTCCAGCGTCTAGGACGCCCCCAGCGTCCGGACGCAATCGTCCAGACGTGACCCGTGCCCTGACAGGGACGTCCGATCCAACATAGTGTCCTGCTGTGCTTATCACCACTGGGGCACATTGCATGTCACATTGCGCCTGCCGCTGAAGTTGGTGCTTGGGTTGGGTGCGTGGGTGGGTGGGTGCGTGCAGGTGGATGGCGCAGTTGGCGGCGAAACGGGCGGCGGTGGAGGATGAGTCGCGCGCCCAGCTCAACGCATGGTGGGTGCCCTGGGGGTTGCGTGGGGTGGTGTATGGTGAGGTGCATGGGGGGGTGCATGGGGGGTGCATGGGGGGTGCATGGGGGGTGCATGGGGGGTGCATGGGGGGTGCATGGGGGGTGCATGGGGGGTGCATGGGGGGTGCATGGGGGGTGCATGGGTGGGGGGTGCATGGGGGGTGCATGGGGGGTGCACGGGGGGGTGCATGGGGGGTGCATGGGGGGTGCATGGGGGGTGCATGGGGGGTGCATGGGGGGTGCATGGGGGGGTGCATGGGGGGTGCACGGGGGGGTGCACGGGGGGGTGCATGGGGGGTGCATGTGGGGGTGCATGGAGGGTGCCTGCCAGGGTGCCAGCATCATCCTTCACCGCTTATGTGCACCATGCACACATGCTTTGCCTTGCTGTGTGCCGCACCTATACATGAGCATTGATGCAATGTTCTAGCTCGCCTTGGTCGCAGCGCTTGTTGGGGGGCCAATAACGATTTGTTAAATTGGCAGAAAAAGTTCGGCTGAGGCAAGCCGTATACAAATGTGAAACCAGGCGAGTTTCACTCGCCCCTGAACGAGTGTTGGAAACACTTGGCCGAGTACGAGTCCAACTCGCGAGAGTTTTACTCTCGCCTCGGTCATTTGCTCATTACATGCACCACCACGCACCACCATGCAGCACCTAAAGTGTCAAGTGTGCCGTCCCTTTGCTTGCCATGTGTGTGGTGGGGGGGGCAGGGCGGTGGGCAAGTGGAGGGCGGTGCTGGGGGAGGCGGAGCAGCAGGCGGAGGAGGCGAGGCTGGAGGCCATGGAGGCCGGCAGGGCGGAGATGCGCCAGTGGTGAGTCCTGAGGGGCTGCAGGGGTGAGGGCAGCAGGGGTGGGTGCAGCAGGGGTGGGGCAGGGGTGGGTGCAGCAGGGGTGGGTGGCAGGCCATTCCTTGCTTGCATGTCTCCTGGCCGCCCCTTGAATTTTCTATTTCCCTGTGTGTTCTCCATGTCTGCATGTGGCAGGTGGACGAATCAGCTGGAGGAGAAGGCAGTGAAGCTGGCAGAGCAGGCAGCGGCAGCAGTGGAGGCGGAGGCAGCCATGTATGTGGCGGCTGCGGCTGATTTTGGTGGCGGGGAGGAGGGCGACCTGAGTGAGGACGAGCTCATCGCCTCCGATGATGAGGAGCAGATGGTACGCGTGCACCGCATGGCATGGCGTGCAGCGCATGGCATGGCATGGCGTGCAGCGCATGGCATGGCATGGCGTGCAGCGCATGGCATGGCGTGCAGCGCATGGCATGGCGTGCAGCACATGGCATGGCATGCAGCGCATGGCATGGCGTGCAGCGCATGGCATGGCGTGCAGCGCATGGCATGGTGCAGCGCATGGTAGGCGTGGAGCACATGGTAGGCGTGGAGCACATGGTATGGTGCACACTTGTTCACAGGGAAGTATCATGTGCATTGTGGTGCAACTACTGTCATTCATCCCTTCATAGTGCTTCTTGCTCGAAAACAAGCTCTAAACGTCACTCGAACATTCGTCCAGTACTGTTTGCTCTCTCCCCTGCGCAGCTCCCTTGTGCCACTTCCTACTCCCACCAACTGTCCTTCTTCTCCCTTCCACGCCTTCCCTAGCACGTCTCCCTTTCCGTGCCTCTCTACCCGACCCCCACCTTGCTGTGCTCAACACGTCCCTTGTGTCGTGTGTATGCCCCATGTGTCCCGGGTGCGTGGGTCCGTGGCGAGCGCAGGAGGTGGCGGCGCGCATGGTGGATCTGAGCGACATGGAGCGCGCCGTCATCGAGCGCGAGATGACCCGCTACCGCGCCAGGCGCGAGGCCAAGCGCGCCTTCTGGGAGCGCGATGTGCAGCGCGCCATGGACCGCAACCGCAAGGCCATGCGTGAATGGTGAGGCAAGGCCATGCGTGAATGGTGAGGCACGGCCATGCGTGAATGGTGAGGCATGCTCACCCTGGCGATGACTGTTCGTGCTCTACCCACCGTCACTCTATGCCCCTGGCTCGGGGTCCTCAACAGTTTTCTTGCCTTGCTGCCTTGCTCCCCCTCCCACCCCTTGCGCAGGTGGTTGCAGCAGTGGGGGGCGAAGCAGAGGGCCAATGGGTGGGGCGACAATCCGCCTGTGTGGCGCCTCAAGCTCACCGCAGGCAGCGCGGACACGCCAGGTGGCAGCACGGCATTGGAGGACGTGGAGGTGTCGGGCAAGGGCGTGACGCTGGGCCTGCTCCCCCAGCCGGAGGACGGCTCGCGACCCATCGAGCTGCACCTCAAGGGGGTGAGCTCTCTTGCTTTGTGGTCACCATCTGCAAATTGATTGCAATAGGTTCCATATCCTGCCATTCATTGCCCTCCCACGCACCGCCCATCGACCTCCCCCCTCCGTGTGCGCATGACAGGTGTCGTTCGCGCACGCGGTGGTGTACGGCAAGGACAAGTACATGGGGTTCGGCAGCTACAAGCGCGAGTACTTCATCGCTGACATCGGCTCCACCACCGGCACCTTCCTCAACGGGTCCACCTCCTCCCCTGCCCCCCTCTCTTCCCATTATCCCACTTGCTCCCCGCCCCCTTCTCTGCTCTGCTCTGCTCTCTTTCCTTCTCTGCTCTTCTCTCTGCCATGCTCTCTGCCATGCTCTCTCTGCCATGCTCTCTCTGCCATGCTCTCTCTGCCATGCTCTCTCTGCCGTGCTCTCTCTGCCATGCTCTCTCTGCCATGCTCTCTCTGCCGTGCTCTCTCTGCCATGCTCTCTCTGCCATGCTCTCTCTGCCATGCTCTCTCTGCCATGCTCTCTCTGCCATTCTCTCTCTGCCATGATCTTTCTGCATTGGCCGCTGCCCTGCTCTTCTGTGGTGCGACGGTGGCGCACACACATGTGCATCGGTGTGCGCATGCCCCCACAGCATGCACAGGCAATGCTTTTGTCAATGCCACCACGTCTGCCACCTGCTGCCTCTCCCCCTGTGCTGCTGTCCCCTTGTCTTGGCTCGACGCCTGTCCCACTGTCCCCCCGTTTTCCCGTGTACCTCTGCGCCGTTATCTCCCTCCCTGGAGCGCAGCAAGCTGCTGGGGGTGAATGCGCCGCGCAAGCTGGCCAGTGGTGATGTCATCAAGCTGGGCCCTGAGGTGAGCTGTTGTGTGCTTGTCACCACTACTGCACCACACCACCATCACGCACGGCTGACATGGGGCAGAGGATTGCCAATCATTTCAGCTCGTTGTTGCAACACATGTCACTCCGTGCACCCTAGCATGCCATCTCTTCTACGCTTCGCCATGCACACCACCTCCCTCGCCTTGCCTCCCATCCCTCCCCGGTCCTCACCACCCTCAGGTTGAGTTCGTGGTGACTGACCCCTCTCTCTCGCCCTGACCTCGCCTCCCATGCGCTGCCATGCCGGGCCGAGGGCTCACCAAGTGACATGAAGAGGGTGTGACGTGGTTGTGCCTCTACGATGATCCGTTGCTCACTTGACGGATATCACTGCTGTACCTCGTGTCTCGTGTTTGTTCGTCCTTTGTGCAACTGGTTATTTATCAAAGCATGTAGCTATTGCACCTACGGTAATGATCAAATTGATTAGTTGTGAATAGGGTGTGTGCTCCAGGGGGTATAAACAGCTTGAACTTAAACTACGGTAAGGACACTGGCATAAAAGCACATGCATTCAACACATGAACACTTGTGAGTCACATCACATGGAGCATGCATCACGGTGTAATCTACCACACTCCCTCCATGGTGTTATCCACCACTCCCTCCATAGTGTTATCCACCACTCCCTCCATGGTGTTATCCACCACTCCCTCCATGGTGTTATCCACCACTCCCTCCATGGTGTTATCCACCACTCCCTCCATGGCGCGGCCGCTGCACACCAAGATGGAGACAGCTACTCGGGGTCTCTCACATGAGGAGCCATGCCGCCCTCACATCACATCACACACCACTTGCATCAAGTGCCACCGAGTGCCACCGAGTGCCAGGGGCTGTCGACAACTCGCACGGCACAGCCTCGCGTGATTTGTGTCGCGCTGCGGATGCCTGCCGTCATGCGGTGCTTTGCACGCATGCATTCGCACCTGCGCGCACAGGGAGGGGAATGAAGCCAAGTCAGACGTGCTAGAGCGGGAGACACACGCCAGGGAGGCACAGCACCAGCAGCGCGGGTGTGAGTGTGAGCGTGCAATGTCGGAGGAGCGCGCCCACACGACAGGGCGCCCTCCCCCCATAGCACGCTCGCCGTCGCTTTCCGCCCTGTTAGGACCCTCGGATGGAAGGCGCTGCGCGCAGCTGATGCCAATCCGACGGTCTTCGTAGAGCGATGCGCGCCTCTTGCATTCTCTCGCAAGCATAGATCGCACAAATGCTTCGAGATGTGAGGGACGAGCCGCGCACCCGATGTGTTGCGAGCCGCGCTGAGAGCCGCGAGGTTACGAGGAACGACACGCGCCTGACCGCGCCTGCCATCAGTCGATGCCCCGCACCCGTGCCGCTCCGGGTGTCGCAGCCATGCTCACTGCGAAGCACGCGCATATTGGGGGGAGAGGGGGAGGGGAGAGGAGGGAAAGGAAGAGCAGGACGGGAGGGGGAAGACGGAAAGGACGAGACCAGGTTAGAGGGCGGTGGGGAGAAGCGTAGAGACAGGGCCAGCAGCACGAAAGACAGGCGAGACGAGCAATCGCGAGTGAATGTGCGGCGGTGCGGAGAGCGCGCGCGGCGAGAGACACGCGCGCACTCGAAGGAGCACCGGCGGCGGGATGCGAGGCCCGCGGAGGTCGCTGTGCGCTCTCATGGAACCGACGGTCACAGCGCCCCCGCCGCTCCACGGCGAGGGCGAGCCGGCGGTTCTTGGGAGAGCGCGTCGAGGAGCGAAAAGGAAATCGCGGATCGAGTAGCGCGGAACGCGGGAAGCTGACAACACAATTGTAAGCGGCAAGGCGAAAGGTAGGAACGGACCGATATGTTGGCGCGAGGGAGTGCGATCACTCAAGGCATACTCCGCGGCAGCATTAGGGACGCGAGGCACGGACGTGAAGCGGAGAGCAACTGGAGAGTGAGAGATGAGATGGGTGGAGCTCCTCCCCCACGCAACCCAGAACCTCGTCGTTGAGAAGACCTAGCTTCTGAACGTGAGGCACGCTCGAGAGTCGCCGTTGTGCAAGCTGGTTTTGAGCAGTGTGGAGCGGTTGAGCCCCGTCCCGAACCAACTGAGACCAAGCCGGGGCGTTCTGCAATACTGTACCTCAGGGATTCCAAAAATCCAACACTGCTAATCAGGGTTTCTAAAAGCAAAAATAAGCCCTGCTATCCCTACTTTACTTTTCCAATGTACCCTTCAAGGAGATCAAGTTCCACACTGCTTTGCTTTATGGTACCTCTCATCTTCTCTACACCTCTACAACACTAATATTCGGTTAGGAACATGAGCTCTGCAGGTGCAAACGCAACACTGCATATCAACAATAGTGACAAAGCAACTCTGCCCTATATTTTCCTACTTCACTCCATATGGCACCTTGGCACGAGCCGTATAAAACATGTTCGCATTCCAGTGCTCACAGGCGCTCTGGATGCGGAAACGCAGCTGACCTACAAATGAAATGTGGCCCACAGCAGAGCAAGTGCCAGTGGAAGCAACGGCGCCTGGGTGCATAAAATACCCTCTACAGATGACAGACGCGTGGGGATACAAAGAGGATGGACATGATAAGCCGATGCAGCAGCCGAGGAGCCAGAGCGCTACGACACGGCTGTCACCTTCACATCTGCGCCCACACCTGGCCGCGCCACACCGCCCTCCAAACCCACATGCTGCGACTCTCCCCCTCCCCCACTCCCTCCCCCACTGCCCCCCGACGGCCGTCGCCTGTGCGCACTGCTCCCCCCGCTGCCCCCAGCACTGCCGCTGCCGCCTCGCGAGGGTGATACACCCACCACGCTGCGCTTGGGCCGAGCAGCCCCCCGCGGCGACCCCTCCCGCATGGGCGACCACCGCCGCCGCGGACTGCCCTCCGCCGCCGCCCCTCGCATGCCGCCTGCACTGCTGCCGCTGCCGCTGCCGCTGCCCGGGCGCCTGGGGCTGGCGCGGCGCGGGCTGAACTCCACAGCGAACGTGGACACGGGCCGCCCCCGCGGACTCACCTCCACCGCCGCACCACGCCCCCCGCTGCTGCTGCTGCTGCGCACCACTGCACGGTCCTCCCCTCCCCCTCCTCCTCCACCCCCACCCGTGCGCTCAAGGCTGCTGGCACTGGCGACGGCGTTGAGCGAGTGGCTGTGGCCCTCCCCGCGCGTGGCGGCCAGCGCAGCAGCGACGCCGGGAGGCAGCTCGCCCTTGGCGCCCATGAGCATCCACGTCTTCTGATCCACCCCCCTCTTCTCCGCCTGCCCCGCTCCCCCCGCCTTGCGTGTCGACATGCGCATCGGCCCACTGCTGCCCCCCCCGTGCCCGCCGCTGCTGCTCGGCCGCTGCTGCTCGCGCTCCCTGCCCTTCTCCCTGCCCCTATCCCCATCCCCCCCACTCCCCAGCAGCCCGCCCGGCAGGACGCCGGACATGGACGCCGATGCAAACAGCGCCTCTACCTCACGCCGATGCCTCTCGTCCATCGAGCTGTTTCGCGATTTACTCTCGGATTTACCGGGCAGATGTGACAACTCCCCTGACCGGGTCTTGTGCAGGCGGGCCTTGGTGGTGCTGCTGTTGAGAGCAGCGCCCTAGAGACACAGCACAGGGGGGACGCGGAGGGTCAGTGGGCCAAGGGCAAGGGGGTGAGGGGCGAACACAGGCCGTGGCAGGGGCGAGCACAGAGGGCAAGGCGGGTGGTAAGGCGGCAGAGCACACGCACCCAGCATGACAGGCAGCACGTGCAGGAGCAGCAGAGCACGTGCAGCGAACGCACAGCATAGAATGCACCAGGCGCAGCGCAACATGCTCAAGTAGACAAGTTAAAGGGTGGGAGGGCAGAGCGCGTGAGGAGGTAAGAGATGCGACACATACACGAGAGCCATGCTCGCTGCTGGGCCGGTGCTGCTGCTGGGCTGCCTGCTGCTGCGAGTGCAGGTGCTGCACCATCTGGTTGTGCATGGGGTGGAATCTCAAATCCGACGACCGTGACTCCCGCTTCTCCCGCTCCCGCTCCCGCTCCCTCTCCCGCTCCCGCTTCTCCCTCTCCTCCTTCTCCCGCTCGCGCTCCCTCTCGCGCTCTCGCACTTTGCGCAGAGCAGCATCTCTCGACTCGGTGAGGTCACGCGATGACCCCGTGGAGAAGTCCTTGGACGCGCCCGTGCCCGCCGCACTGCCACCGCCTACACCCGCCACGCCAGCAGCAGCCGCCACCCCGGCCGCCGACAGCTCGTGGCTCGTGGGGTTCACACCCCCCTTGCTCCTGCCCGCACTGCCCGTCCGCACCAGCCCCCCCTGCTTGCTCTCCCCAATCCCCACCTCCCCACTCACGTTCCTTCCCCCCACCCCCGCCCCTGCCGCCCCCCCTGTGGCGCCAGCAGCAGTGCCTGCGGACGAGAAGGACGGCCCCTGCACCCACGACGTCGTGGCGGACAAGCCCTTGCCGCCCGGCGCCGCCCCCCGGAGCTTGTCGGTGGCGTCGGCGGGTTTGAGCGCCTTGAGCCCGTCGGGCGTGTCCACGGCCTTGGCGGCGCCCATGGCGTGCGGGCCCAGCCCCTGCAGGCCCGCCGCCAGCGCCATCTCCGCCGGACTGATGAACTTCTCACTCTTGCTCTTCGCTATCGCCGCCTTGCCCCCCGCCGCCTTCTGTTGGGGGGGGGGGGGAGGGAAGGCGGGGAAGAGGGGAGGGAATGAGGAAAGGAGGGCGTGAGCATGGAATGGGGAGAATTGAGTTTGGCAGGTGGTGAGGGAGTGGGCGTGGAAGAGGTGGGCGACGGGCGCACAGGGGGTGCTGTATCCACCCCTTGGCAGCAGTGATGGCACGGCAGTGAGCCACGCACCTGCATGTTGATGGACTCCACCAGCTCCGCGTTGGCGTGGGGCGCCGGCACCGCCCGGCTGGAGCGCTGCTGGCTCTGCTGCTGCAGCTGCGGCTGCTGCTGCGACGTGCTGCTGCGCTGCGCGCCCTGCCCCGCCGCCGCCTGCTTGCTGCTCGCGCTGGTGTCTAGCACCTTGCCCGCCCTCGCCCCTGCCGCCCTCTGCCTGCCACAGACGACGGACCAGGGAGCAGCAGCGGCGCACAGGGGAGGGAATGCAGACAGGGCGGGATGCACGGTGACAGAGGTTGAGGGGCGGTGCACGCACCAGGGTTGTTGCACGGTGAGAGCAAGTGGGAGTAAGAGGGCGACAGGCAGCACAGCACAACGGCACAGCAGTGGCACGGCCCGCACAGGGACGCAGCTTGAGTGAAGGGCGAGGATGAGAGGGCGCAAGGAGGTGCATTGAGGGCCGAGCACGGGCGTGAAGTGGCGAGCAAGCACGGGGCGGCGAGGGGCAGCGGGGAGCGGGGAAGGGGGGAGGGAAGAGGAAGGGCGGGGAGGGGCGGGTTGGGGCGGGGAGGGGCAGGGAGGGATGACCTGCGGGCCTCTTCGTCGCGCAGCTTGGCGTCGTACTCCTTGCTGGGCGGGTACTGCGGTAGACTCGCTGGGTCGCATGGCAATGGCTTCGTCGTGAAGAACTGCCAGGCATAAGGGAGAGGGGGACGGGGGGGGGGGGGGGGGAGGGGGAAGGGATGGGTGATGGGGAACGGCAAGAGTATGAGGGAGAATGGCGGCACGTGAGGGGTTTGCGAAGGGGTGGAGGGAAAAGGGGAATGACGCAGGCAGCAACGATTTCTGAAGCGTCATGACCTGCCGTCCCCTACCGCCCCTTGTTTCACCTCGTGCGCGCCTCACTTCAAGCGCCCCTCTTCTCACCTCGTGCGCGAGCGCGGAGGTGGCGGAGCCGCGGTCGGCGGGTTCGATGGAGAGCAGGACGTCGAGCAGGTTGAGCGCCGTGGCGGGGAAGTCCTTGAACAGGTCCCGCAACGCGCGCTTGTACGGCTGGGTGGGCTTGAAGATGGTGGCGTGCGGCAGCTTGGAGCGCCGCCAGTACTCCTCGCTGGGCGACCCGCACAGCTTGAATATCTTGTGCAGCTGCTCCACCTGCGCGCGCGCCATGGGGCGCAGGGGGGGGCGGGGGGCAATGGGGGAGGGAGAACGGGGATGAAGGGGGGGAGGAGGGGGTGTGAACGGTGGACGGGTGGAAGAAAGGTTGGAGGGGGAAGGGGTGAGTGAGGAGCGAGTGGGGGATGGAGGCAGACGAAGGCCAAGACACCTGCGCGCGGCTCACCTGCACGCGACTCACCCGGGCAGGCGCACGTGCGCGCGGATCACGTGCGCGCGGCTTACCTCGGTGCGGCCGGGCATGATGGGTTTGCCGGCGAGCAGCTCGGCGAGGATGCAGCCGCTGCTCCACAGGTCGACGCCCACGCCGTACGTGGTGGCGCCCAGCAGCAGCTCGGGCGGCCGGTACCACAGCGTCACCACGCGGCTGGTCAGCGGCACGTTCTGCTCGGGGCGGTAGAACGTGGCGAGCCCGAAATCGGCGATCTTGAGGCTGCCCGTGTTGTCGAGCAGCAGGTTGCTGCCCTTGATGTCGCGGTGCAGCACGCCGTGCGTGTGGCAGTGCTCCAACCCCGCCACCAGCTGCTGCATGTAACACTTCACCTGCCAGCACGCGAGGAAGAGGGGGAGGGGACACGAAAGGGAGGGGGAGGTGGGGCGCGCGAAGGGGGGAGCAAGGGAAGGATGGTCGCCGAAGCCACGCAGAGACAAGCACGGAACCGCACGCGGAAGCGGCAGCAAGACAAGCAGCACGGCGACGAGGTAAGGGCAGGGCGGCGGACCTGCGCCTCGGTGAAGGAGATGCCGGGGCAGGCGGCGAGCCCGGCGAGGTCGTGCTCCATGTACTCGAAGACGAGGTACAGGCTGCAGCTCATGCGCGACGTCACCAGCCCCTCCAGCCGAATCACGTTCGGGTGGTCCAGGCGCCGCAGCACCTCGATCTCGCGCGCCATGAACCGCACGCTCTCCGGCTCCAGGTTGTCGAACCGCACCTTCTTCAGCGCTACCAGCCGCCCGCTCTCCAGGTCGCGCGCCTTGTACACGTTGCTGTACGTCCCCTGCCCTATCTGCGCGCCGCCACGCGTAGGGGGTGTGGAAAGGGGGGGAGGAAGGTTCAGGGTGATTGGGTTGGGAATGGTGCGAGTGCGACGAGGTCAGCAAGAGCGCGTAAGGCACAAGCAAGAGTATGGACGGCCACAAAGCCCCGCATCGGCGCTTGTGAATGCGGCAGCCGATCCAATCACTTAGCATAAATAGTTACCCACGACGTCGTAGAATCAGGCGGCACTGTGCGACAGCCTGGCGGTGTGCGGCACTGTGCGACAGCCTGACAGTGTGCGACATATTGCCGCCCGCAACGCCTCCCGCAACTCTAAATTCGAGCGGAGCCGAGCAGGTTGCATAACAGCGGTGGCTACGCGAGCATCGCAAAACAAAGGCCAAACAGAGCAGGCGCGCAGATCAGGATGAGCGTCTAGAGCACGCAACGCGACGCGCGAGCGAGAGAGTGTCCATCCCTCTCACTAGCGACCCACGATTCGCTCCCTTCCGTCCCACTCGCTGCTCGTGCTTTCGTTCATGACATATAGCTCTCGTTCCCGTCCCTTCTTTCCGTTCAACAACGTTGTAAAGCAGCCGCTCTTTCCCCTTCCATTGCATTCCACCAACCGCACACTCCCATCCCCACGTACTCCCTTCCCAGCGCACTCGCCGCACGCGGATCCCGACCGCGCCCGTTAGCGTCCGCGCGCGGCTCACCTTGTCGAGTTTCTCGAAGGAGTCGGCGCGGCGCGGCACCCAGCCCTTGATGGCCTCGCTGGCGACGGACGCGAGCCACGACGGCCATCCCGCCGCCACCTGCTCCGCCTCCAGGCTCTTGTGCACCTGCCGCGGCACCGACGCCACCGCCGCCGGCACTACCGCATCTCCCGCCCGCTCTCGATCCCGCTCCCGCTCTCGCTCCTTCTCCTTCTCCTTCTCCTTTTCCCGCTCCTTCCGTCTCTCCCGCTCCGCTCCCTCCTCCCCCGCCCCCAGTTGCCCGCTCTGCCGCGAGCTGCCCTTCCCCGCGGCTTGAGCTGCGGTTACCGCCGCTGGCGCAGCTGCTACTGTTGGCGGAGCCCCTGATTTGGCGGGAGGCGGGGGATCCTTTATGGAAGGGGGCTCGGGTGCCACGGGGACGGCGGCGGGAGGCGGAGTGGCGGCTGGCGGTCTTTGCTGCTGCTGTGGGGGAGGGGGAGGCTTCTCTGCTGCAGGCTTGTGAGGCGGAGACTCGTCGAGCGCACTGGGATGGGAACACGCGCACCCCATGACGAGCCCGCAAGTAACCCAGCCCAGAGTTCGTGGGCCTAGGAGCAGTGCGGGTGGCGCACCAGCCCTGGCTACCCTCGCTAGCTACCGTTGGAATCGTCGACAAATGACGACCACAGTTACGGTGTCCCCGAATTGAGGAAATGAGAGGACTGTTAACCAAAGAGTTTTGAACAAAGCTGCCTAGAGTTGTAGGCTACACTTGAAGAAATGTCGTCTTAACGTTCTTAAAGTATTAACAAAGAGAAGCAACGCGAGGGCTTACAGGGAGAGTGACTACCGCCCTGCATCCACGGTACTGCGTGTAAGAACATCTGTAACAGTAAGTGCCGCCAGTTAAGGCACGCGAATACAACTGTGTTGAATGGTGCGTAACACGTCCGTCACAGGCGTGAGGACTCCTACGTACCGAGCAGATCGAGGACGAACTCTGGACGCGAACCTGTTATGCCAGACTCCTACTAAGTCATTATGCTCCTAATTTATAATAATGCGATAAAAGCGTCGTGCGAATCGGGACGTCCGCCAATGACGACCTAAATGATTAGGCAGCGGAGAAGGGAGGCAGTTGGTGATGGTTATGAGGGTTAGCATTAGCAGGCGGGTTGGGTTAGTGCGGTCGCAGCAGGAATGATGATGATGGGGTGTTGTTGGGATGCTGGGGGGTAATGCTGCTGGCAGGGCTAGGTAGGGAGCAAGCGGAAGGAAGACGAGAAGGTGAGGCAGTCGAATGGGCGGAGGTGATTGGGGATGTGTGACCAATGAAAGTGGGGGGAGGGAGGGGAGGCGGGAAGAATGGGACCAGGAATGGTGGAGGGCATGGCGGAGGATCGCTTAGTCCCGTGAAAGTGGAAGCGCTGCGCGCAGGTGGCAGGTGGACACACGTTTATCCTACTCGCATGCGCACAAACGAGGGAGGGGGAGAACACGCGGAAACAAATCCTCAGGGCGTGTCTGAAGTGAATTTCGACGTTTGCCGACGAAACTTTCGTCGACGTTCCTTGACGAAACTCGACATCCGTTTTCAGCTGTGTTCACTTCAGACACCCACACGACAAAATAACCCACACGTGCCATAGGAACACTGTTATAAGTTGCCCATGAAAATTCGACGTGGAATTAACAGAATCATTCATGTAACTCAATTGTTTGCAATCTCGCGAATTTCGCTTAGCATAGATTGTTGCTGGTAACACCGGATATTCTACTGTCACATTGCCAGCGAAATTTCTCTAGCACGTGTCGCTCTCGTCTTAGTTCTTATTCACGTGTGTTTGCCACAGCTATGCAGACATGGCGTGTCGAAGAATTGTTTTTGAAACACTCACTGACTACAGTGACTCAAACGGCTGCCCGGTATCACTGTTCGACATCCCTCGACATGTGCACGAACGTCGAGTTTCGTCGAGGGATGTCAGGCTGCACTTCAGACACCAACACGCGTGGGTCCCACGGATGAGTTTCGTCGACGAAATTTGACGAAACTCGACGTTTGCACTTCAGACACGCCCTCAGAAACCAGTTGTAACTTGTTACACAGCTTGCGCCAAAGCCAGGGACGGAAAGGCGGAAGAAGTCACTGTTTGGGAAGCGAGCGAGCCGCTGGTGTTGGAGAAAGCAGGGATGTGCGGCTGCGAAAGCGGAACGACAAGCAGAGCGAAGAACTTGACGACACTTTCCGAGCCTCTCAGGCTCGAGGCGAAGCACGACAACGAACCACGAACAACAAAGCTCGCCGTCCGGCGCGGGGAGCGAAAGAATGAAGAAGGGAACCTGCTCGTAACATCAAGCGCAAATAATTTAAATAGAGTTCGTATAATACACTTCATCGCATATGAATGGAAGCTTCACTTTTGTTTCTCGTGAGTACAACCCCCAACTCTTGGGAGTACATGTTGTTGATATAACCAAGGAATCGATGGATAGGATAAGACTGTTGGGCTGAGAAAAAGGCCCTTAGGATCTTTGCAGGACTAAACTCTGAGAAGGAACGATATAATAGCGGAAGCGTTTAATGATACCGTATGGCCCCGGATAAAAGCGCATATGCGCTTATAATAAGTTAAAAATTTTCAAGGGTGGCGCTTGTAATTGAGGAACGGCCATAAGCGCCGGCGCTTATATAATGACAAATACAATTTTTATCTTTAAAGGTACCAAACTGTACCTTTCGTTGTAGCCATTTCAAACGAGTCGAACTATTATAGCGTCACAAAGCAGAATCGCGCGCAAGCGATTCTGCTTCCTGTACACGGGCAAATTCGCGTCACTTTGCAGGCATGCCAGCACATCCTGACTGGACGCGCAGACAGTCAGGTCTTCGCGAGTCAAACAAAGCGAAAATGAAATTTGACTCGCTGCAAAACTGAAATTCGTTACCGATTTAAACTGATATTTAAATGAAAATTGCACACGACGCTTATAATAAGTAATGGTTTTCCAGGGGGGGCGCCGCGACGGGCGACGGGAGTTGGGCCGGGGCAGGTCGGGGCCGGGGCAGGTCCGGGACGGGGCGGGGCAGCAGGGGCCGCGCAAGGCTCCCCTGGGCAGCGCGACGGGGCAGCAGGGCCGCGCGACGGGGCAGCAGGGGCCGCGCGCGGCTCCCCTGGGCGGCGCGACGGGGCTGCAGGGGCCGCGCGACGGGGCGACGTGCGGGTCCCCGTCGCCCGTCGCAGCGCCTCCCGGGGGCGACGCGGCGAGTGACGGGGCAGAAACCCGTCGCGCGCCTCGGGGCGCACGGCGGGCAGAAAACCGCCGCGCGCCTCGGGGCGCACGGCGGGCAGAAAACCGCCGCGCGCCTCGGGGCGCACGGCGGGAAGAAAAACTGGCGTGCGGCACAGAGAGTAGCAGTAGCAGTTGCAGCGGAAGCAACAGGGTGGTGAGCCCACCCACAGGATCGATCCAAGGGGATCGACCTGCTCTGATAGCATGATAAAGTTTAGAAGAAAGAAGAGGGTTGCACTAGCAAGAATGGGGATACAAATAGCAAAACCCTAGAAGAGTTGTACTCGCTATAGAGCACCCCACTACAGGCTAGAGCATAATATTCTGACAGGCGCTTATAATCGAGGATCGGCCATAAGCGCCATGCTCCAGATAGAAGCGCCGGCGCCTGTAATAGGCCGGCGCCTATATCCGGGGCCATACGGTAAGTCTGTGAACCACCTTCCGCTGGTATGTGAGGGCAAAGTAAATTGATTAAAGCAATGAGATACAAGCTTTTATAAGAGTACAAGGGAATATGAAAGGTTATAGCTAATAATTGTTTTACTATTGATGTTGCGGTTCGATACAGTGACGACTCGGGCAACTGTTCAATAACGAGTCAGTTGTCTGTCCTTGCTGTCACGCTGTACTTGTCAGGTCCAAGGTCGCTGACCTTTGACTTTCGCGTAACCTCCAGCAGTTGTTCAACCTCCGAGGGTTGACTCGCCGATGTTTCACTGTACTTCGCTTCGTTTACGACTTAGTGTTTCGACACGACAGATACGCTTAAATCACTTGTTTCCAACACTCCCCTTCGCTTCTGGAGTGTCGCTGCTGGTGACGTGGCTCTGTCCAGTCAGCAGCATGCAGTACTCGAACTTCTGCTTTCCGAGCTTCTTGGTCAAATAGTCAGCTGCCATCTTGGATGTGGGGCAGTAGGACAGTTCGAGTCTGCCTTTCTCGATCTCGTCCTTTACGAAGAAATATCGCAAGGCGATGTGCTTCGTCCTGTTCGCGAATCCATCTTTGTTGGCTATACGAATTGCTGACTGGTTGTCGCAGAACAATGAGAAGTTGGGTAACTGAGCCAGCTTCGCTTCCTCCAGGAGTTCGCCAAGGTATAGTCCTTCCTTGGTGGCTGAGCAGAGTGCGATATATTCAGCTTCAGCTGAGGAGAGGGCGATTAACTCCTGCTTGCTCGACTGCCATGAGATGGGTCCGATAGGTTCGAAGCGATAGATGTAGCCGGTGCGCGAGCGTCTGTTCTCGGAGTCGCCGGCGTGATCGGCGTCCACGTAGCCGATTAACTTAGGTGTCGAGGTCTCGTTCTTATGATAGGTCAGGTTGATCGTCGGAGTGCTAACGAGATAGTGAAGAGCGCGGTCGAGCTCCGCCAAATATTCTGCTTCGGGCCTTTTGAGGTAGGTGGCGAGTTGACTCGCAGAGTACGATAGATCCGGACGGCAGGTGACGGCCGCGAAGAGGAGGCATCCCAGCTTTCTTTGGTAGTCGCGTATGCCGGCGGGCTTGAGCGGGGTGGATCCTTCCTTGTGATTTCCTGCGGTGTAGCAGTATGGCGTGGAGATGGAGATCGGGGTGAGTTCGAAGCGGTTGGCGATAGTGTCGGCGTATTCCGCGGCGCTGAGGTAGATCGCGTCTTCTTCTTCTTGAATATTGAGGCCGAGATACTGCGTGACGGTGGACGAGACCGTGAGCATGAGATCTTGCTGCAGCTCCCCTTCGAACCAGGTAGTGACGCCGTCGATCGAGCCGATATAGAGCAGGTCGTCTGCATAGACGATGAGTAGAATGTAGTCGTTGCCCTTTGTGAGTCGGTACATGCCCTGGTCGTGCGGTAGCTGGTAGAATCCGATGCGAATGAGTCTAGCGTGCAGGTACTGCTGCCACAGTATCGGTGCCTGTTTGATGCCGTACAGGGACTTCAGTAACTGGCAGACTTGGTTAGGTTCTCCGTTTGAGCCGTGTGGTAGTTCGACGAAGATCTCTGCGTCAACAGATGCATAGAGGAAGGCATTAGCGACGTCAATTTGCCGCAGTTTCTTCTTCTTCATGGCGGCGATCGCGAGGAGGATTTGGAGTGAAGTGTGTCGGCTGACCGGGGCGAACGTCTCGGTGAAGTCGAGTTCGTGCTCTTGGTCGAAGCCACGTACGACCCAGCGCGCCTTGAATTTGTCAATAGTGCCGTCCGCCTTTGTCTTCACACGGAAAACCCATTTCCCGGTGAGTATTGTCTTGTTTTGTGCCACGCTAATGGGAACGACTTTCCAAGTGTT